AGACTAGCTGCGTCCACCTGAAGGCACTAGCCACGATCCCTTGCAGGATCATGGGTGAGTACTGCTGGAGAGTCTCAAACTGGAACGAGTTACCTGTCCGACATTTCCTGGTTCTCAAACTGATTTCATTTTGTGATCGGACTTGAAATAAATCAAACCTTTGGAAACCATCAATTGAAAACATTCAAAAAATTCCTAAGACTTTAAAGAAAACACTTAGAACACCATCCGTCCATTAGAAGGCTTAACATATGTAAAATATTGTTTGAAACTGGGGGGTTGGGGTGGTTTATGAATCCAGTTGGAGCAAACTGCCTAAGGCGCGAAATTTAAAATCAAGGATCACAAACTGACCCTTGTGAGTTTGAGTTTGCTAATGCAGAAACTGCTTCCACTGCTTTAAGCGATTCATTGAATTTCGTAATAACATGAATATCTTTATTAGTGAAATGAAAACACGTTCTGCATATTGATCGTAACTATTACTTTTGAGCTTCACATTTCCATAACCGCCTTCATTTTCTCTCAACATATCCAAATTATGATAAGCGGCATACTGTGAAGAGGATTGACAGTTCGTTATTAACCTGGTTTTAGTAATAATGATCCTTATTTCCAGATAATTTCGCCTATATGCTCTTAGCTTGAAAGTCTTCAGAAGTGTGCCCAATTGACGCCATCTGAGATTACGTCTATGACCTACATGTTACCAGGCAAGTTTGTTGACTATCTAGTCATTAGGTTGGAACCCATTGATCCGTGTATTCTTACCTTGTCTATTCTTGATATTTTGCCACTGACCACCGAAGCAATAGGTGAGGAGCATCTGTTTCACAACTGATGTGGTATATGCCCCACCACTTACGACTTCTCACTTCAAGATAAAGTTCCTGTTACCACTAGTGAATGACCAGAAGATTTTTATACAGATAAGGAGATATATGAGAATTTAAGGCAATGATAATTGGTCAGAGAATCATTGAAGAAAACTATAGATGCACACCGATGAAGGGCCCGAAACAACGGTAAAACTCCTATCTACTGAAGTGTTCGGTTCTCAATGCGTTTTTTTCAAATGATATCGTCACTGGTAGAAATTTGCACTGAAATAAATCACAATCCTTGCAAAACCGTAAATCCTTTACATTCCTTTGCATTCTGCTTGAACCTTGAGCTTAGAAGTTTCACTAGCAGCGGTGTTATTTCGCAGGGTAGGATTATAAACCTCAGTGACGATCTCGCCTCATTACCGAGCTTACTACCGGCTAGGCAAAGTTCACGAGTGAATCAGCTAGGAATCCAGCCTGAACCGGTTGTGAAGATGATGAACATTCTGCCACCTAAAGATCGATGTCCCTGTCACGTTGTCAGCATACTGATATTAAAAAATTTCAACTTTCCAGTTGATTGTATTTAATATCTTTTAATTTTTAAATAATTTAATGCTCACTAGTGACTAGCTATGGTGTGGAGTTTCCTGGAGTTCTGGTGAGAAGTCGTGACCAGTGAGGTCTATCCAGTCAGGAGTGAGAATAGATTTCCCATTGGTTTTTGATCACTCTAAAATCACGAATCAGTAGAAGTGAGAATTCATGGGCTGGCCATTGAATCAGGTCCTAGTGGCTGAATGATCCACGAGCTTGCCTTCTCACCTGAAGGTTCTGGGTTTGAAAGCCGGTGGTAGATGCGTACTACCGATGAGTCCAAAACTAGGATGAAACAGCTGTTCAGTGCTCCCTGGTTATCAATGGTTCTCTAACTGTTATCGATCCCTGGTCAAACTAAAAAAAACAAATCTTCTAGTTTGTTCAACATTCACCGAAAAGTAGGTGAATGAAATCGATTTTTCTCTACAATTGTCAGCCGAGACTGTTTTGTTCAAAGTGGTTTTATCTACAGTCTGAAATAAAACGGCTATCTACGGTCACGAAAATCTTACAGGTGTCTAGAGGTGTAAATTTTTCAAATAGCTAGAACTAACTAAGAACACGTTCATAGTCTAATGTTTTTCAATTAATTTTTCGAAGTGAATTGCCTAAAATACATTCTTACTGAAAGATTTCTTATTCCAAAAGTGATCATAAAGTAAACTCAACATAATATACAATCAACTAACCGAATGATAACTCATTATAACAGCATACTTTGCTTAAAGATAAATAGGGAAATAATGTTGTGAATTAGTTTTCATGTGGGCGGTTTGGAGGATATAACTGATTCTTATCCATAAAGGTACTATTCTCCAGTTTTTAACGATGTATATAAATTTAGATAAAGCAATAAGAAGACGTAATTTGTCTGAATCGTGTAATGTATTTGCGCAACACATTTCGAACAATCTGATCACACACGGACTTGTCATAGGAATATATATGAAATCAATAAAGAGGTAAGAGGTGAGAAAATAGACTTAGGTCAAGTTTAAAGGACATATTCAAGGTCAAAGTAACAAAAGAGCCTTAGTAAGGTGCGTCTTCAGTAGAATCCAACGAATATGCACTGAAGACACACTTGACGCGGAGGAAAGAAAGTTGACACAAACTCTAATTGATAACAATTATCCAGACAAGTTCATCAGGAGATATAAAGTAGTCATAACACCAAGACCCACTCTCCAACTCGCCCCTAAGAAAGACGTGTACATCAAGCTACCCTATATGGGGCATCAAAGCAGCTTGATAACTAGACAAAGACTGAACGTTGCTGTTAAAAAGGCTTTTTATGCAGCCAATATCATAATAATTGAGAATGTAAAGCCAATATATCTATCTAAGCCCTTCGAACATGAGAAAAATGACGTCACATCCCACTGTATTTACCAGTTTGAATGTACGTGTGGACACACATACATAGGGAGGACTCATCGATCTCTGTAAGAAAGGGCTGGCTTCAGAGCATATTCCTAAATGGCTCCAGAAACAAATGGAATCTTCAGAACCTATTAATGGCGAGAACAGGAGACCGAGCTCTTCTATTGCGAAACATATTATAGAGACAGGACATAAAATTGACGTTAACAGATCTTTTAAACCTATCGATAAAACGTATTTGGGGCGTATCCTAAAGTTTGTGGAAGCCCTAGCAATTAGAAAGTTTAAGCCACCTTTATGCGTTCAAAAACAATTCGTCGTAACAATAAACCTTCTTTGGTAAATTTTGTTTTGATACCATAGCAGATATACTATTACCTCTGTTATTTGGTTTAGTGGTCTTCATTGTTACTTTGACCTTGAATATGTCCTTTAAACTTGACCTAAGTCTATTTTCTCACCTCTTACCTCTTTATTGATTTCATATATATTCCTATGACAAGTCCGTGTGTGATCAGATTGTTCGAAATGTGTTGCGCAAATACATTACACGATTCAGACAAATTACGTCTTCTTATTGCTTTATCTAAATGCATAAAGGGAACTAATTGTTTTAAATTTCTAAAGAGTATATAAATTTGGCAAAGAGAGTAAGCAAGTTAGGTTGTGGTTACAGGATTTCATCATGAGCTGACATAGGTTAGAGAACCATTGGAAGTCCTGGGAGTACGCACCCTCCGGGGTTCTGATCTACTCTTTTTCCGATTTGTGTCTCAAATTGCTACTTCAAATAGGGATCCAAGTATTCTGAATACACTAGTGCTCTTGAGCCAACCAATTAGAGGAAACCAGTATTTTTTCTCTATAATATAATGTCATTTAGTTACAAGAAGTATGGAAACGATAATGATAAAATGCATTAAAAGGGATATTATGACTTCACGTGATTTAGAAATACTTTCCACTTGTGATAAGGAGTGTCAGTGTTGAAGTAGAATCAAGCCTTTTTCCAAAAACCTCTAATGGAATCTGGATGTGCTCCATTAAGAGCTTGAAGAAATCGCAGATTCACCGGCCTATTCATCTTTATAAATCCTACTAGGAATGAATAACCATTTTATGACTGGCATTCGGGAATTAGTTCCACAAGTCCTTCATAGATTTTAGTATCGTAGATTCCTAAACTCCAAGCATAATTCTCCCTAGGTCATCCTCAGTTGTACTTCTTTCTATTCAAAAAGGTTTTGTTTATATGGACGACGCACTCAACTCCTCTTAAATGCTGTGTGACTCTGTCCGATTTCCATGACACCACGTCCATATAGTGTTGTTAATATTGCATAGTGGACATCGGAGAGTCCGCTGTCTGTGTGGCACTAGCTCTTAACTCACTCTTATCCAACGATCAATGTGCATCCAAGGTCACTAGTGCGTTTGCAGCCCTGTGTCTCTATTCTTTCAATAAGCCTGAAGTGATTATTATTATGATTATTATCATTCAAGTTTTAAGCAATAATCCAGTCTATCTTTTACTAACCTACTAGGAAATAGATATAAGAACAAAATTTTTGCACTGTGGTAGAGTGTCTATAGAAAACCAACGCATTCTAATAGATATTTAGACTTTAATTCATCTCATCCCTTAACTGTTAAGGCAGGCTTAGTTAAGTGTTTAACAAACCATTCGGTAGCACTAAGTAGCACAAAAAAGACCTTCATTAAGAAGATTGAAAAAGGCCAAAAGAAAAGTAAAAAGAATTGTGAAACTAGAAATAATAATATAAACAAGAGAGAATATAAGTCATCTACAGTTATATCACATAAAGAGGGGACATCTGAGACCCTACGTAGGATTCTAAATAAAGCAGGAATTAGGGTGTCATTCAAACCTACAAACTCACTCAGGGACAAGCTCTGTAGGTTAAAGGACCCAGTGGACCCAATTAGACAAAATAATATAATTTAAAAAATACCCTGCAGTAGCTGTGAGGTCAACTACATAGGTCAAACTAGTAGGTCGTGGGTAGTCAGATTGTCAGAACATAAGAATTTAGCTAAGAATGGTTCACCCAGAGAAGATAAGTAATTTAGAAAAAAGCTCGGCAATTGCAATGCATGCATCAACACACAACCACACAATAGGATGGGAGAGGGTTAAAATTCTAAAAAGTAATCTAGGTAGGTGGAGAGAGAGGTTGATTACTGAATCTTTGTTCATCGAATCTACACCCAACACATGCAATAGGAATGAATCATCACTCATCCCTGAAATATGGAAAATAATACTACCAATCAAATCAAGTGAAAAACAACGGAACTATATAAATGAATTTCGGAAGTCGTGTGATTACCTTGATATGATTATGAGCAATAAATTGTGCTCGAAACGTCATCAGTAAACATTACTGTATAACACTGTGAGACTTTATCAAAATAGGAAATAGATGACCTTGATTACAGTTTCAGAATTTTCGCTGTCAGAAGTACAACTTAATTTGTTTTAAAACAATAACATATTCTGCTAACAGTAAGTATCCTTTCTAAATGCCATTACCTCATAATCTCACATTACTAGTCATATTGTTTTAGGTTTTTCCGAATAAATTCATCAGTTATCTCACTTAAGTCCACAAATACTGCTCTACTCCTCCTAGAACATCAGTTTTATTTATATAATTATTTCAAGTTTGATCACTGGCTGACTTCATTTAGGGAACTTTTGAAAACAAAGGAGTATTGGAGAGATGTTTCGCCCTAGTTCCAAACCTCTATGAACTACTCACCAAGCGGATTTCTAGCCCAGGATCTTCCGGTTACAAGTTAAACTCGTAGAATATTCCAGCCACTAAGACCCGATCTAATGACAGGTCCATGAATTCCAACCTCTACCAATTTGTGATTTTAACGTGACCACTAGTTTGTGAAATGTACTGATCATGGAAATGAACGTAAAATTAATAAGATTAGTAACATGGTGGAAAGTTTGATAAGATTGATTTCACCAAATTACGTTTAAAACGATACGATAAGCGGTTGGGGATGATACACACAAAAGTAATAACAATCGTAATAATGAAGGTATTATTATTACTCCCTTGGGTAATGAGTGGAGCATAGGGCTTCAGTAATACATCTCCACTCCCTTCTGTTCTCTGTTGTCCTCTTCAGCCGGCTAGCCACACGACTGCCCATATTCTCCAATCTCATCCTCCCGCTCACACGATCTCCTCCATGTCACCATCGCACCGTCGACCCAATCGTTGCTTCCTATTCAGGCTTAACTCGAGCGATGGGATGTGAAATGTCATTCAACAGCCTCCTCAGTGGCGTATGCCTCATCCGTCTTCATTATCTCCCACTTACTTGTTGAGCGGTCGGCTGTTGTTTGGTTTGTTTCCAACCAGCCTGACATTTCATCTGTATGGAGCCAGTGAAGGTGGTAGCTGTTGACGAAAGTTTTTACCTTGTTGGAAATCGTTTTTGTGACATGGTGGCCGAAGTTTCTAACCCGTATAGAAGAACTCACTGACTTGACATTTGTGTTGAACAGAATTTGAATCTTGTCCTTTATGCTGCTGATTCTGAATGCAGTAAATTTCCAAAGTGCTTTGGAGTTGATGAAAGTGTACCTTGCCTTTCCGATTCTCACTGGCTGATTGGCTGGCCGGCTTTGACATCTTCATCCGTTTCGGCTGACTGTGGTCAAAATCCTGCTTCCTGGTCAGATAAGTGAAGGCAGGAAGTGACTTCTGTCAAATCTGTTCTGATGATGATTGGTGCTCGTTATTGTTTCCACTGCTATTGCTGTTGGTTTGATTGTTATCCTCATCATCTCCGTCTTCTGTATGTCCATCTGTAGTCCTGTTTACGCTTCCTGCTTGCTTCTCCTGCAAGTTTGTTAGTTTTCGCCTGTTATTCTTCAAGTTTGTATGAGAATAGATATATATCATCTGTGAAATAAACATCTTCTGGAGTATTCTTATTGGTCAGTGCAACGTATTACAATATTCTCGCTTACTATACACAGTCTGACGCGTAATCCAGTCCACCACATTTAAGAATATCATCTGTGATGATGGGCAGGTGGCCTTGTCTTCCTCCTGCACGCACTTAGAACGCCTCTCTGAGTTTTCTGTTGTGGATCACCTGACACTTGGCATTGTCATACAGCCAGATGTTGAATGAGGTTGATAAAGAGTGGAGGAAAGGTGCATGGATTAAAAAGAGGAAAGAAGAATAAAAAAATGGCAGATATAGGGACTGTGTATACCTTTCTCATGCTTAGAGGTCTGGCTTGAATTTATGGGTGGCAAGTTCTCTGCTGTCTTTATCAGTTTGCAGTGAAGAAAAATAATCTTTAACTCATATACAAAAATCTATCAAATAAGGAAATTATGTATTTGCGGGATAATATACGCCGGTTTTATTTCGTGTACCCTCTTCAACTACGTACATGCTAAACAGTATCAAATTAATTGTTACATAATTTATGAGCGAAGGAGTGAAAAATAATGTAAAACTGTGACACATAAATAATCAAGTAAATTTGGAAACCAAGTAGTGAATTCAACTCAGTGAACGCTATTCTCTTAGTCCTTCCCACTAGATTTTCTGAGCATATCCCTGAAAGTTTCTTTATGGATATAGTTTCTTAAAATACATAGGTGTACAATTTTTTAGCTTTTTAATACATTTATTGACAACAATACAATAGGGACAGTAAGTGTTGCTATTCTATTTCTACTATGGGAATTATCAGTTAATAAACCTGGGGTTCGAGTGGAAAGCCGTGACCAGTAGGGTTGAAGGTGAGTCAGTAACCCATCGAAGAAGACACTGCGAAGTGCTCACGCTATGTCAAGAATTGGAAGAATTTAGAATTCATGGATAGGCCATTGGATCGGGTCCCAGTGACTGAATGGTCAACGAACTTGCCTTGTAACTGGAAGGTACTGGGTTCGAAACCCGGTAGGTTTGTACTACTGGAGGGTCTCAAACAACGACGAAATTGCTGTTCACTACTGGCTGCAGGTCTTCCAATGTTTCTCTAAGTGATGTCAGTTTATGATGAAACCCTCCAACTTGTATATATTATCTCTTAAGTAGCCACTGCTATCTAGTCAGCTTTCAGGACTTATCTCCAGGTGGGTGGAAGTTCAATTTATGAAGATTTTTTAAAATATAATGAGTACTTTGCAAATAAATTTAATGTAGTACTGAACTCTAAATTACTATTTGTTACTAATGCTTATTCGATTCTCGGCCTGGTGCACACTTCTACCTCCCTAAGCCAGTTGTAACTTTGACAAAAAAGTGAAGGTTGGGCATGGTGGCATCGACCTCATCCCTTAAAAATATCACTACTACTGAAACTCGAAAGCTGAATCTTCAAGTCTACCCACATGCTTTCATCTCCTCTTCACATGACCTCCTCCAAGTCACCCCACCCTTGCACTAACAATCAACTCGCCGCTTCCCTTTCAGGTTCCACTCGAGCAATGGCTTGTCTAATCCTCGCTCATCTTTGTCTTCATCTTCATCTCTATTATCTTGCCTTCCTTCTACCAATGCAACTCCTCTACTTGATGGCCCTTCACTTCCTCTTCAATCTGTGTGCACTGATAACGATGGAAGCCAAAAAGCCACCGCCGACGGTCTCCTAAAACCACGCCACCAATTTTATATAGGAGCATTTAATGTTAGGACACTTTGCCAAATAGGACAACAAGCATCACTAGCCAAGACTCTGGCATCCCGAGCCATTGATATATGTTGTGTTTGAGAAACACGCAAACAAGACCCAAGTGTGGTTATTCACCTTACCCCACCTGACCAACAGGATGAATCTGCAAAATTCACCTTGAGGGTGTCAGGAGATACGACGGCTAGCTCACGAGGATTAGCTGGTATTGGGGCAGAAAAGACATTGCTTGACTGGATCCCGGTAGATAGCCGAATGTGTGCTGTCCGCCTGAACGGATCAGTGAAAAGGAGAAAGGACTGCACTACTCGCCGATGCCTTTTCGTAATCTCCGCCTACGCCCCCACTGACTGCAGTTCGGATGAAACGAAGGATGAGTTCTACCAAAAGCTGTCTAATTTGCTGCGAAAGGCTAAACGCTCAGATATAGTCGTTTTAGCTGGTGACTTTAATGCTCAAGTAGGGAAATTGTGTCAATCTGAGAAGAATGTCGGTGGCACATACGGAATTCCGTGCCTGCGAACCGACAACGGTGACCGTCTTCTACAGTTCTGTTCAGATAATTATTTGTTTCTTGTAAGCACTAGCTTCGAACACAAGGAGAGACACTGTTTGACCTGGCGACCCCCATCATCAAATCAACGCTGGACACAAATACACCACATAGCAATAAGCTATCGTTGGCGTGGGTCAGTAGGAGATTGTCGCTCCTTCTGGAACACGTGTGTGGATACCGATCACGCACTGATCCGCGCTCGTGTGTGCTTACGACTGAACGGACGTAGGAAACAGCTGGTGGTAAACCCATCACGTCCCCAGCTCGATCAGGAAACTAAGTCCCTATTTGAGGAAGAACTAGCTAAACACATATCTGAGTTCGACAGCTGCGCTCACCCTGAAGAAGCCTGGAAAAATATTCAGTCAGCCATAGATACAGCTGTAAAAGCTGTGAATAAGGTAAATCCAAAGGTGAGTAAAAACCATTGGATTTCGACTGCCTCATCCGAACTGATAGATGCTAGAAGACTTATCCCGGCGAGCTCCGAATTCAATGAGGAGCGAAAGCTGCACAAAAAGAAACTTACGAAAAGTCTCCGCAAGGACCGTGAACAGTGGTGGTTGACAAAGGCGAGAGAGATGGAAAAAGCATCGGCGATAGGCAACACCAGACAACTATTCAGGCTTATCAGGGAAACAGGTGGCAAAAGGCAAATGATAAGCGAAACAATCTCCGAGAAAAATGGCACCAGAATTAGCTCCCAGGATAGACGTCTGGAGCGCTGGAAAGAACACTATGAGGAGCAGTTTAATTGGCCCACAGCCACACTTAACCTGCCGGACATCCAACACCTCCCTGAGTGAGATGTAGACACAGGTCCTCCTTCCTTAACTGAGGTTACTAAAGCTGTCAATAATCTGAAGCAAGGCAAAGCAGCGGGACCTGATTTATTGACTCCAGAGGTATTTAAGTACGGTGGAGACGGTTTACTGTC